GATTATCCGAAAGAATGTATAATCGAATGCGATTTATACCTCGGATGTCGGAACGTAACCGATGGTCCAATGAGAAAAATTCGTTATCGAAAAAGAAATTCTCTCATTGGGCCATCCGACATAGGCGACATACGACTGATTGTATTAGAACCGGCCTTAAATGAACATTCGATGTATCACATTTTTCTGTAATCTGAATAATCAGACCTGGCGATTCGTACTCATATTACTCTGCGATGTGCGATCCGCGAGCAACGACATCAGAAATCAGAACGGGCCGCGGGCGTCTTGGTAACATGAGCAGTGGGGATAGAGAGGGGTAGGCTTTATGCGATACGCCATACCCGACATACCGAACTAACCGACCGCGCACCGTGTGTAGTGTGTATTCACCTTACCCCCACTCTATCCCCACTACTCATGTTTACCGCGACGCCCGTGATCTGTTCTGACGTCAGACGTGTCGTTACTCCCGCGCCCCGCGCCCCTCGCTCCGGTTCTCGCTCCCGCTCCCATCCCTTATAGAAATTTAATACTGTAAGTGATTTTTTGGCTAGTGATTAATCATTTAAAAGCACTATTAACAGTGCTCCACTTGACGCTACAAATGCTTCGAAACATTCCTCTTCTCTTTTCTTTTAATGAAGAAAGAAGGAGAAGGAGAACGCTCCAAAGCATTTGTAGCGTCAAGTGGACCGCAGCCTAAGTTTCTTAGTTACCGCGTCGCGAGATTAATACCGGGAGTGCCGTGTGCCTTTAGTGTCGCGCGATCATAAGAGGAGACGAATCGTCGATTTTCGCTCGTGAATGTCGTCGCGTTGTGAGTGAGTGCGACAATGGACCAACGGAGTAACGGAGGACGATCTAGGAGAGGAGAACGGGGCCTGGGAGGCATCGGGCGACGGCGGAGCGACCGTGGGGTGAGTAGTTGTTAATTTTCTTATATATTATATTTTGTCGTCCTGTCAGTTCTGTAATGGACTCCGCCACTTTTGTGGTTTTTAACTACGGTGCAATTTCGGGTCGAGTCTGATCTCCGGCGTATGCGAGATATTACGTCGCGAACGTTGCGTCTCTCTCTTATTCGGGTCGCAGTATTATTTGTACAATTTTTCACGGATGAATTATGCGAACTAGTTAACACAGAAATATCCAGCCGCTTATTGCGGCGCCGGCGGCCGCGATTGTTTTTTACATTTTAAAATCAGATATTTGTTAAAATAATGTTTTAAAAACGGGCAATAATTATTTACTTCGATAATTATTTACTGTCGATTATCTTGGACGTAGCTTTAATATAAAAATATTTCTTTTGTTACAGATCAACGCAGAATTACAACTCCGCTGTTGCGTATCGGTCGGTGAGTTATTTTTTTAGCAGAAGGGATAAATATATGTATTAAGTTTATTTGTATGGGAGAAATTAGTACAAAATGGGTACTAAATATTCTGATAGGTCCGGTTTGATTCTGCCGATTTGGTCCTGCTAGCTTAGAAGAGGTGTAATTTTCCCTGCTTGTAAAAATGCGTATTAACTGTCTATTTATTTAGATATAAATGAGCAATCGATCTGACGCTCCATTTTTTGGAAACATGATAATGCCGTGAGAGAGATGCTAAAAATATTCAGTAATACCATTAAGTATTTATATCTCTCGATATTAAGTTATTGATGAATCGACGGGACTGATAAATGAACCATTATTAAACATTTATCAAATAAATAGTTGAAGCTAAAAGCGGTGGGATACTCGGTAATGTAAAAATAAGATAAACGCAACGAGAAATAAAAGTAGAGTAAAGGAGGACTGGCGTGTATTGCCTCGTGTGTAGTAGTCCCTTCTTATTTTACTTTTATTCTATCCGCATTTCGGTCTATCGCATCTAACATCTTTTACAATATTCTATACCATCGGCGGCTTATCATACATGAATCATCGGATGCTTTTATATAAATGCATTTTATAATTATCTTTATTAGCAAAGATTTTAGCATTCTGAAGAAGTAAATTTTTAAAGCTTTTAAATCCTTTCTTCAGAATTTAAGTATTACGAGATTTACGAAACATTGCTTGAGTAAAGTAGCGATGTACTTCGAGAAACAATTTAAATTTAAATTACACATCTTAATTCGAAAATGCTTGTTATAACAATGTAAAATTGAATAAACGGTACTACTTGAAACGGAATATCAGCATACACAGAGCCGATTTGTACGCCGTTTAAAATACCGCCCATCTCTGACGAAACTTGAAGCAAGCCGGGGAAAACTTTCCATACGTTTCTTGACAACCACAGACCCCTAACTAACTACTAATTTTAAACCAAGTCGAAGACAAGCACGGCCACTCTTGTACTTGGAATACTTCAGAGGAACCTGATGTTCGTTGACAAGAACGCAGTCTATTCAGGCTCCTAAATTTACTCGAGCACTTAGCGCTCGTTATTCTTGCAAACGAATATTTTTTTTTTTTTTTTCAATGTTACACATCGCCTTATTCGTAAGAAAACATCTCGAATTCATTTCTTTCGTTAATCCTAGTGAGAAAGTATTCTTCTCATCTTTATTTACATTTTTTGTGTTACATTTTTTCGAAATTAGCTTTAGACCCTCCTATTTTCCCACGCTTTTATCTCCTATTTTTATTTCCAAGTATATTAAACTATTTTTATTTCCAAGTATATTACTTAATTAAAATACTGGACTTAAATTATTTTTATTATTTCGTTAGCATATGTTTAAAAAATGTATGAAATATTGAAAGAATAGTCCATAATTCACATACCTGTATTGATTCTTCTCGATTCTTGAATTCTCGGCTCTCATTTTATGCGCTAAAAATTAATCGGTTGATCACATGACGAACTAATCTCCTAGTTTGTAGAGTAGTTTCTACAGTTCGCTTTCAAACGCTGACAAACAGATTGGTAAATAAATTGTAGCGCGACAAAGCCGCCATAATTACAATCGGCAAATCCCATTAGCATATACGAATCGGCCAATGATGTAAAGTTAATCACGAATGTTTATGATGCAAATTAAAAACTGGAATGAAAGCACCTGTATGTATTCTGCGTGATTGCGATTCAACCATGCGACTGTTTTTCGATGCACGTGTCAGACCGAAGTCGACCAACGCACGACAGATCCCAAATTGAAGTTAAAAGCAGATTACTGTAAGTCAAATAACATAGTCTATTACTATTGCCATTTTAGGAATTTATGTATTTGGAAAAATTGTTCTGTTATTTTAAAAAAAAGTGAATCAATATTGATTAATATTGTCACGCAATAAAATAATTGCAATCTACAAATTGGCACAATTACTTGTGTCCTTCTCGAAGAATTCAATTTGATACGTAGAAAGAGTGAGGAATAAATTCCCGGCCATCGGAAGCGGGTCCTTAAACCGTTATAAGACTTTTACGGCCGTTATGTCGAATATAGGCAACCTGGGGAGTAGTGAAAATCCATGTCAGTCGGGTCAGATAGTGTAATAAAATTCGCAGACCACGATATTCGGTCTCTTTTTTGCAACGCGCTTTATCCATAATTCCAGCTTAATTCACATAAATCAAGACGGATTAAAACAGAGATTCTGGATATCTAAGAAAATATATTTTTTCTTTATCGTCCATTTAAAATAGCTACGTTGCGCTAAAAAATCCTACTGCTGTACATTCTTTACAAACCCTGTCCTTTAAAGCTGCAGGTTGCAGAATGGATCAGCTTTTTTGTTCAATTAATAATTATGTTATATATTATATTATATATTATATATCAATTAATAAAAAGTTAAAAGATTTTAATTAAATTACTTATTTATATAAAAACATGTCTATGAAAATAACGTGGTTACACTTTGTGATTCAGGTATTTAAAAAATTTGTTTTCTTAGAAATTCGTCTTTATTTTTAAACAGGTTACATTAATTATGATCAATATATTCACTCAATAATTCAATTAATAATTATAACTACTAGTATATGAATTATTAAATCTAATATGTGTGTGTGTGTATAATATATATATTATGTGTGTGTTTGTGTGGATGCGTATGTAGGTATAAACTGCATCGGAGTATACATACATTCATACATACAATTAAATATATCCCAAATGTATTTTACACGCTTTACAATTTTCCATTATTAGACTTCAAATTATTAACTACACAGTAATAATTACCTACAAATCGCTATCCATATACAGAATGTTTCAGATTTCGATTCGCGTGACGAAGTGTCCGAAATTCGCGTCTTCAGGCGCAATACATAAAATAAATCATAAGTTCGAACAAATGAAAAATCAATGATAAAATACATGTTTATGCTCAATATGACAAATATATGTATGAAAACCTTTCTCAGATTTCAAGATTTTCATAAAATTCTTTATTATTAAACGCATTTTTATATCTGTTAAAAATCATCTGATACAAAAATAAACAAACATAATTTCTTACCACTAATTTCTTGCTCTGTTGTTGAAAGAATAGGAAATTAAAAAAAAAGAATCTTTCTAGTACATTAATGGCATTTATTAACCCTTTTAATGCTGAACATTTTTTACGAATAAATCGTGCGCGAAATATAGGTACTACTGCCTGTGTGTTGTACTTTTGTTTGATACTTTTGATTGCTATTATAGCCTAACGTAAAGATGCCTATAACGCTCGCAATGACCAATGCAGCAGACGTGTAAACTCATTCATAGCATTAAAAGGGTTAATATAACAAATGTCTATGATACATAAACTATGATTTAATAAATTTCGTGTAAATCTAATCATATTTTAAGTAGTAATCTAATAGTTATACATCTGCTAAACTAAAAAAATAGAAGAAATAGTGTAAGGAAAGAAAAGGGGAAAAAAGAAAATAGAAAGGAGAAAGGAGAAAATAGAGAAAGTAAGAAAAAAGAAAGATGAAGAAAGGAAGAAGAGAAACAGAAAAAAAATAGAAAGTAAAAAAAAGAAGGATGGAAAAGAGAAGAAAGGTGAAAAGAAAGACAGAGCTAAAACGTTATACAATACAATTACAAAGAATTATAATAAAATTCACAAATTGACAAATTCACGAATTTCAAGTTTTTATTAGTTTTTAATAGTAGATTTTTAATAGATACACTGATAAGCAAAATTTAATTGTGGGTACAATAGTATATTTACAATCCAAACATAAAAACCACAAATTTATAAAAGATTATTTATAAAAGAAGTCAGTAATTAATCTTACACACATCCTTGTATATAATAAAGTTTAAAAATATTAAGAAATAATAAGATTTTTAAAATTAAACTTTAGTCATATTTTTAATTTCAAGAATTATATTTGCCAACATAAATAATGAATGATAAATTTACAGTATTACATAATCAACATATTTAACTCAGCTTACAATAATAGTAATTAACGCAAGATTAATATAATATAAAATCCTAATGGGCGCTTATGATTTAAGATGGATATAAATATATTTAACGCTACTTATCAACCTTCTTACTATTCAAAAAGCTCCATACAAATTGATAATAACTAAGTTATCGCATAACTAACTTCTATCGCATTTGTTTGTAACTTAATTTTTTGTTTCATTAAATAATATAATAGTACGTATATTCATTTTGGTAAAACAATCGATGTAATTAATCAGTATTCGATACTAATTATATATTCACAATGAAACAAATAAGTTTCTTTTGTCATTCAAGTAGCTTTCTGCAACAAATTATCAAAGCTGAAATATTTTGTTATCGTTATTTAAGTATATTATAAATTGGCATATGCGTTATTAACTGAATTGCTGAAACTTGAACTTTTATGGTAAATCTAGTATCAAAATGGTTTGAGATTTGCGTAGTCTACAGTTTCAATGTAGAATCCGCAGATAAATTTTCAATGATCTTTGCAAAAGACCTCACTCTCAATTTACCAATTTTCTCATTCTGTCTTCCGTGATCGGGCGTGGCTGTTACTTCAGTTGCCTGTTGATCTGATGTATTCTTGATGTTAGCATCATCATCATCATTTACAGTAATTGTTTCAGGAACGTCATTTGCAGTAATTGTTTCAGGAACGTCATCTACAGTAATTGTTTCAGGAATGGTGCTTTTTCTATTGATGTTCGTCTTTTTTGCTAGAGGATTACGCTCGTTATTGATTTTTGTCTTTTCTTGAGAATGTGGGATATACACATAATACGTATGAGAATTTCTCAAGTGTTTTTTATACTTGGTCTCAATAGTGAAATTACATGGACACAATAAACATTCTATCACACCAACTTTCCTTTCTCGATTTCTCCTCTTTTCAATAATTCGGATGGCATCTGCATGAGCGTATTTCAGATGAGCGTGGAAAAACATCAAAGATGGGTATTCTAGCGGACATAACGGACATGAATAACCATGACAGTAACCGTTCACTGATTCAGATTTCTGATTTGTAATTTCATTGCTTTTGCATTTTTCTGGCATAACACGTCTGAATATAGGTGAAGGTTCAGTTAATAAAGGTTCTGGTTTGGATTTATTTGTTATACATCTATTCGCCAATAAAATTGATTTAGCTTCAAGTTTATTCATTGACCCAGATTTTAAAGACACGTCAGAACTTTTTTGAAGATCATTAGTTGATCCAGATGGTGGCACTAAAGTATTATCTTTGGATTCAGTATTTGTTACAATAGCTTTAGATATTGTTGCTCCAGTGGATAAAAGAACTGAAGTGTTGTTTCCAAATTTACTTGGTGCGACGGTCCTAAAAGTTGTTAGTCCAGTGGATAGAGAAACTAAAGTATTCGTTTTTGATTCTGTATTTGGTGCAATAGTACTAACTGTCGAAATATCTTTAGATTTGTTAATACATGGAATTGCAGGAATCGAAGTCTTCTCTGTAATTTTATTATTTTTCGAACGTGCAGCTTTCTTTAATAATTCGATAGTAGCTCTATCATACTTCTTTATCGTATTTTTAGCCGTAGTATTACCTAAGAGTTTATAGACAGGCCGTTGAATCATTGGTCTTTGAAGAAGTTGAGTTGAATTATCTTCAGATGTCGATGCTGATGACATCGATGCTACCGATGTTGCTGGATCAGCTTCAAGTAATTGTTTCTGAATGTCATCGTTATTAACAATGGGAAGAGTAAGTTTTAAAATAGCTCGTTTAGCTATCATATCATCCATATGAACATGTACAATATGTGTTTGGACAGTGTTAGCAGTGGGGAACTTCATGTTGCAGAACACGCAATTGTATTTAGTTTCCGTACATGTATCATTTTTAGATTTACGTGGATGCTCCGTTATCTTGGATGTAATGTTTGAAGATGACATCTGATCACAATTTTTCCAATTATCCTTATTATTATCAGTAATATTTGAATGAAAATGTTTCTCGTGACAGTTTAACGCAGTAACAGTTTCCAGAACTTCATCACAAACGTGGCACGCATGTCTATTATAAATATCACGATATAAGTGAGTTAATTTCCTATGTTGATCAAGTAAATGAATTGTTCTGCATCTTCTTTTACACTTGTCACATCTAAAATCGCCATCATTGGAGTAAAGTTCTCTGTGCTTTACCATATCATCCATGTCTATACATTTCAGTTGACAAATTTCGCAAGTATACTCGTTTGATAGCTGTTTATTTTGTTTTTGTTGGTCCGTTGAAGAATTTCCAATTTTCTCCTGGACGTTAGAATTTCTTTCTTCTTTTGCAGTCTCAACTAAATTCACTTCATTCGAATGAACGTGCATATTGTGCGAATAAAAATGATTCTCATGATTGAATCCCTCGTTGCATATTTCGCAGATATAACTATATGCCTTGCGTTTTTCTTCCGAATAATGTATAAGTTTGGTATGATGATTAAACATGTACAATCCCTGAAAGTTTTGCGCGCAAAGTGAACATGTGAATGTATGGTTTTTGTAATAGTACATCCGGTGTTCTACGTAACGATCATTAGTCTCAAATACTAAATTACAAACGTTACACATCTTGGTATGGATAACTGATGACTTATCGGATTTCTCTTGACTCACATTATAATTGCACGCGAGCGTGTTGAGCACTTGTTGACTATGTAAGTGCAATATATGAGGCCGAAGATCGTGTTTTTTTAGAAAACCTTGATTACAGAATACGCAATGAAAACTATAAGTCTGTGAAATCTGTTGTACATGCGCTGCAGAGATATGTGTCTGTAAAAGTCGTTTAGAACTGAATCCAGTGCCACACATTGGACAGATATCGGTACTAAAACTAAAGCTGCGTGTGTGTATCTCCAAATTCTTGGGATTGTGAAATTGCTTTCCACATATATCGCAGGGATAAGTCATAGTTCTTGTAGTGTCATCCAATTGCGTATTCGCAGTATTCTGATTACTAATTGCGGAATTGTTATTTTCTGAAAGCTTTTTAGAGTCTTGTGATTTGTTGACACTTTCGATTTTCTCCTCACTTAAGTTATTATTAACAAGAACGTTTCGATTAGCTTCATTAATTTCCGGTTCTTTTTCACTATGAAGCGATGTTTGATGTTCGTTTGATTTTTCTTCTACGCAGTCGCTATTTAAAGTTTCACTCGAATCATCTGGATTAATTATTTCATCACACGTGAGTATGATTTCATCGGTGTTCTGCCCGTGCTGTATCTCAGGAATGTCCTTCGGATGTGCACTTGCTTCTTCAGTAGATTCTTGCTGATCTTTTTCCATTTCTTCTTGTACTATGCAACAACTTTGATGTGCCTCTAAAGATGATTGTGACGAGAATTTTTGGTTACAATGTAGACACGTAAGAGATTTTTTTATCAAATCGCATTTTAACTCAATATCTATTGGATATTTATCGTCCTCTCTTTGAATGTACTTCAGACAGTGAACATTTAAGTGTTGCATCAGGGCTTCATAATCGGGTAATAACATGTAACAAATGCAACATTGATTTTGTTTAAATAGATGTTCAGATAAGTAATGCTGAAGTAATTTATGCTTCTGTGTATATCGCGCATCGCATATGCTTGACATGTATGCTATATGAGACGACTTAATATGTACGTGTCTGTCCAATCTTGAAGAAAATGTCTTTTTACAGACTTTACACAAAAAACAATTGTTATTATGTGTCTCGACGTCCAATTCTGTCTTTACTTTTATATTGGGAACAGATATTAAACGTTCCACAGAAACCTCTAAGTCCTTGAGCGCCATATTATTTCCTGCATCACTTTCTTCAACCAATGTAGAGTTGCATTGAGTAGTGAGAGAAGTGTTTTTCATGGTATCAATCGTAGAAATCTGATAAGAATTTCTTGGTCGTTCATCACATCTTGTTAAAGGAATTGTACACTCCTTGCAATTAAAACGAGCTCTAACAATTTTCAAATCTACTTCAGGATCTACCTTGTCTGCCTCATCAATAGCATTCTGTTTCCTTTTAAGTTCTATGTTAAATCGAGTCCTGTTTCTTCTCCTTATTCCTATATTTTGATCTATTTCCATGGAGAAATGTCCACCTAGAGATCGTAAACGGTAGGGTACCTCACGATCATATGAAATAGTGTTACTTCTTCGACTTTTGGTCAGGAGGTTCGGTCTTTTATCTTTGACAACCGTATCGGAAAGATTCTCCAGAAAAGATTTCATCATTTCAAAATCCGCATGTAATCTTACAAATGGCTTTTTAGGCGTTTCATGTTTTACAGTTGTTCGTTCCAGAGTGGAAGGTGTCGTTTGTTTTGGGAGATTATCTGATTTTGGAAAATCATTTTTCACAAAGTTCAATTTATTTGGACTGAGTTTAATATCGCGTTTCTTTTTGCAAAGTTCAAGGTATTCCGTTAATGTTGGTTGCCGTAATCTTTTAGTAGTTGGCGATATTTCATCATTGGGTGATTTATTAACGTTATTTGTAAGTGTAGTATTTATCTCCTCTGATTTAAAATTATCTTCTCTGAGATTATTCGAATATGATTCTCCATTTGCACCAGTTCTTAAAGTAGCATCTTCAGGAGGTGTATTTACGTTCTTGGATCTGGAAGTCTTGTGTTTTATTTCGTTATTACAATCTATTAATTCACCGTGTATATGAAACAAATGAGATTGTAATAATACTTTTTTGCGAAAAGTACGAGTGCAAAAATGACACTTGTATCTATATGTGTTTTTACACACATCAGGAAGACACACATGAGTCTGTAATAGTCCTTTTGTTACGTAATGTCTGTTACAAAATCTGCAGATGTTATTATCGCTATAACTAAAATATCGTAAATGGTATCCATAATTTCGACCAGAAGAGAACGTTCTAAAGCATACATTACACTCTGACGGCGTTTTACGCCGACGTTTTGATTTTCTTTTTGCCTTAACATTCTTCGTAGTTGTGCGTAACACATTAGTGTTTTTATTATTAGAGACTTCATTGGAACACTCTTGTTTGTTAAATTGTAATAAGGTGTTATGTATTTCTTCTTTCGGTTTCGCACTTGTATGCGCTATATTAACAGTCTTGTTTACATCATTTGAATGTACGGAATCATCATTCGACGAATGACCATTTTCTGTATTATTTATATCTGTGTTATTTATGTCTTTATACAAAGTATCCTTTTTAGGTAATGATGATTCGTCGCAATGATAGTCATGATCGATTAAACTAAAACAATTTCTAACTAACATCGAATCTTTGGTTGCATCGGTATTCGATGTCGTATCGGCTGGCTCTTCCTTAATCTTCGCCCCATCTTGAATTTCTATATCAAGCTGAAAAATATATAAATTAATTTTACTTTCTTAAATCTGCTTCAGGGCAATAAAATTTTCTAATCTTGAATCGCAGAAATAAAAAAAAAACTCCTTTCCTTCTATCCCATAAACTAATCAAACTTCTGTCGCCAACACCACATAATTGCGACCATAGACATAGTATATCTAAACCGAGTGTTGAGGAGTGGGGGTATAAATGCACATAGACTTCTGTGGTTTGCACATAAACTATATAAGAAGAAAAGTCCAAAAGTTCAAGCGGATAGTAGAGCCAACTAATATAGGCCCGAGGGACTGGCAACCTCAACGGGCCCGGTAGCGCCAAGACCTCCTCTTTTTCCACCATCTCCGTTATATCCGGGAAGGTGGAGGGTAATCCTTTATTAGAAGGAAGGTTCTTGGTGGCGTTCCCCAAAAATTCCAGAGACACGCGCACCCAGTATCCATTGCCAGATTCCCGACAAAAACCCCCGCAGGATTTAAAATACCTGCCTGGGATTGAACCCGGATCTCCGGAACATAAATCCAGCGTCCAGCATAGGTTTATATTGCACGCTACGGAGACCGTTCGTTCTCTCTCGTTCGAACGCGTACAAGTGAGAGAGAACGCCCATGCAAGCTAGAAAGAACGGTCTTTAAACAGAGTGCCTCTCTTGCTCCTATACCCCCACTCCTCAAATAAAGGCAAACGCTCAGTCTAGATATACCATGGTTGTGACACACTGCTATTTTCAATGTCACAAGTTCCTAGTGCGCATACACCTACGTGAAGTTAGCCGACAAAAATTATTAAACTTGATTATTTTTAACTTGTCTGAGTATATTTCGTTTGTAAATTGTTTGTGATAAATTGTGAGTCCGTTTTTAACATTTTTGATCAATTAGTTTTTTGTAATTAACAATTTTATTTTAGTCATAATGTCAGCAGACACTTTTTAGTAATAAACAGATTTTGTGATAACTGGTAATTAATAAAAAATCGTTTGTAATTTACAAATATACCAGTGTTACGTTTGTGAATTAATTAATTTCTTAATTATTTGCAAAATACGTTAATAACTGTACAGCGCATGCGCAAAGTGTACTCAGAGTTCCTGCACACAAAGAGCGCGTCGACGCGTGGCGTAGGTTGTGCCATGGACAATCTTCTCACCTTTCTGGAACTAGCGGAAGATTATTGGCCACGCGCCTATAAGCAGAAGTTCTCAGTAGTTTTAGAGCAGCTGTCATATCACGTTTGTTTACAATCTTTTAATATAATCAAAAGATTGTAAAAAGATATGACAGCTGCTCTAAAACTACTGACAAGGAAACGATCAGAAGTGTCACCGATTTTGATGGGCTTTGAACATGTTGTAGAGAATAAAAAAATATTAGACCCATTTTTTTTAGCTGGTTTTCTCAATGTTTAGAAGGTGAAACATCCCTTTGAAAAAAATCGGTATTTCCATTGTGAGAACCTCCTGCTCATAGAACGCGTGGCCAATAATCTCCCGCTAGTTCCGGAAAGGTGAGAAGTAATTAGCTACCGCACCAACTTCCGCCACGCGTAACCAGTGAAATATACTAACTGAATATACTAACTGAAACGCACGTTGCTATAGAAATCCACGGTAGGCGAGTGATATGAGAGAGAAGTCCCAAGTTCCTCTCTTCTTCTTGTCTAGCCCATAGCGTAGTCAAGAAGTGAGGATGAAGTACAAGCCGATCAAGAAGACCAAACAAGGACAGAGTGCTGCTCGAGACACCTTGGCATGCTCTCTCTCATATCGCATAGACAGGCCTAGCGCGCCTTCCAGTTAGTATTACAGTGCGCATAACGCATCGACACACTCTTTGTGTGCAGGAGCCCTGAGTAAACTTCGCGCATGCGCAGTACATTATTAACTAAACTTATTTTGTAAATAATTAGGAAATTTATTAATTCACAAACGGTACACTGATATATTTGTAAATCACAAACGATTTCCTATTAATTACAGTTATCAGTTATCACAAAATCTATTTATTACTAAAAAGTGTCGGCTGACATTAAGACTAAAATAAAACAGTTAATTACAAAAAAAAAACTAATTAATCACAAACGTTAAAAACGGACTCACAATTAATCACAAACTATTTACAAACGAAATATACTCAGAAAAGTTGAAAATAATCAAGTTTAATCATTTCTGTCGGCTAGTAGGTTGCGCATGCATCGGTTTGTACCATGGAGAAAATGGCTACACTCATTCGTCTTCTATAATCTAATTATCTTATTACTCAACTCAACTATTACTCAACTATTACTCAATCTATTACCTTATTACTCAATTCTGTATTACTTGTTTGTCATAAGGATTAATGTTATAGTTATTAATTAATGTTATTATTTAATTATTACAACTTTAAGTAAAATATCGAGGCTTCTTGTGTACAAATAACATCTTGTTTAACATTAATCGAGAATTATGATCGATAATGATTAATTCCTTTAATTTCTAAGTAGAACATAGGGCCTCCTAGGTTTCAATAATCGCTTTAAATTTGGATGTGCGGGTGATTAACCTACAGCAGTATCCTAACATAGTGGCAAATAGAGGGATACACATAACAGTTGCCAGCTATGTGTGAACTAACGATTTAATGTCTCTTTCAAAAGACAGACCAGATTCTCCGCACGAGAGGTCCTCCGTTAATTTCTCGTGGGGGGAGAGAGAATGTAATTTGGAATATTATGTAATCAAATAGACTCAAACCCGGTTCTTTGTGGTTACGAGTAATGCTTTATCACTAGAGCACACTGCCATCCTATAAAAAGTTATAATATAATTTAATAATAATACAGTATCCATTTACTTTATCACATCTCGTTCATAACATAATAATTATCTGCATTAGTTTATCAAAAGCATCCAAATTTAAATGCGTGTACAATTTCCCAAATGTTCACAAGTCATGTAATTTAGGATCATCTACATCAAAGGTGCCGACGCTGTATTGCAAGTGTTGCAACTGTGTAATAGCTAGACTGTGCTGGAACGCGCATAGCCTATCCCCCTCCATTTGATAAAATGGTCAGACTGTGCGTCATAGCGGACAAAGCTATCTCTTCCTTGCGTGTACTATCGAGATAGTTATCAAAAAACATTCTATTTTACTAACAATTAGTTTCTCATTCAATTTTACTTCTATAAGTTAAAAACATTTAAATTAACTTTAATTACAATTTTTAATTCTATAAAATTTTTTATGTTCTCTTGAAATTCAGTTTTATTTAACAAAACATTTTTTCAATATATTTTCGTAAAAATATTTTTAAAACTTAGTATAATAACTGTTAGCATATTAGTCACGTCATCAGCACATCTCAGATAGACAGAGAAAGCCTTATTCGCAAGCAATTATTGCACTCACGTAGCTGAGTAACTGTGGCCGAAGCAAAACAACGGCGTGCGCATTCCACTCTGTAGCTGATTTCAATGGTATAAAGTATAAACCAAGCCTGACTAACACGCGCTGAGCCACGGCCCCACTCGTGACTCTTTCTCCTACCTCGCACTCCTCGGAGCTCGGGCTCGGCTCCCCCCACTCTCCCACTCGACGCTTGTTCTTAACTTGTCTTAAGGTCCGCGCACAATGAAAAACATAAGAAACAAGGAACAGATATTAGTGATTAGGACTTAGGACTAAAGAATCAGGAATAAAGCTAACATTGATGCATGGCTTTCGATAAATTAAAAATGTATTGCCTGTGTTTTTCATTGTGCATCCAGTTTTATTCCTGTTCCTTAGTCCTAATATTTAATATCTGTTCTTTGTTCATTATAGTTTTCATTGTGCGGGGGCCTTTACGAGCATCGTGCGTTTTTTGAAATATCACTTACTGCTTCTACGTTACAACGCGTATGCAAAATGACATTATAATTTGCATTGTTGTCTGAAGAAGTCGCACAACACAAAGCGAGACATTATGATCAATACCATACTGCTTTAAGCGTTGTAAGTAAATAAGAACGTTTACGACACGACGCCGTACGGCATCAATCAAACTACATCGGTTGCTACGGAAAAACATGATAGTGGTGAAAGTCTGAAGCGGTAAGAGTGAGATCGATGGCTCTTTCGCTTCTGGTTAGACAGGCCTGATATAAATTAATAACATTAAAGAACCACTAACCGCTTACTAAACTACTTTTTTCAATTAAACGCAGCTAATATCAGAATCATCACAGATCTGGAAAATTAGGAAAACCAGGAAAAGGCATGTTAAATTGGTCAGGAAAAACCTAAAAAAAAATCAGGGAAATATATAAAAGCCTTGAATGTTAAACTTTGCTCACAATTTCCATAAATTGTCTTATTCTAAACAGTACTTATAATCTTTTAAATATCATATTTAATATTTATAGTCAAATGCGTTCAAAATTCACGCACTTTACAAGTCATTTCTTATGTGTTACTACGAGGAAGCACTTTTGAAACGCTCTTGCGTCCATTTCTTATTTCATGTTTCTCTACTTCTTCTCTTGCAATGGTAATCAACAAAATAATTAAAATTTACTTTTTATTCAGTACTTTTATTCAATCATCTTTTTTCCTCATAACTGTATTCTATTTTTCAATATTTATTTATTTTTTGTCGGCCTAACTTTGCATTCAGGATTATATTATGTTACTAAACTTGTAAATTTGTGTTGCTTCTAATAATATAACCTATTCCTGCAATCCTTGCTTCTAAATATCAAAATTTAAGATTACATGTTAGTCATAGAAAATTCTCTATTATCGAACTACAAAACATGGAAAAGTTAGGAAATCTCAAAATTCATTTTCTGTGACAATCCTAAATGTGTTTGACTGATTTTTTAAAAAGAATCCTGAAGTAACGATAATTCGGTTTTAACATAAATTTTTTTTATTGAGCGGTCTGATAGATCATGGCATACTTTCTTTGTAAACTTTTTGAATTTTTGCAATATCTTCAAAATTGAAGAAAATATAGTACACAAAAATGT